GCGCCGCGCGCGCGGACCCGGATCAGGAAGCGCGCGGGCGGGTGATGGATGCTGCTGTCCGGCACCAAGCGGAGGGAGGGAGCTGGCTCTTTGGTCTTCCAACCCCCCAACTTTGAGTCCCTCTGGGAATTCGGGGCCCGCAGGCTTCTGGTCCTCTCAGATGCCCAGGCCGGGCCCTGTGCGTGCCCTACTCTGGCCTAGGCCTCGGGGCAGCTAGGCAGCCACGGGGCAGCCAGGCAGCCACGGCCCAGCGCTGACCTCGGGGGCTCAGCCTCGCCTGGCCTGGCCTGGCCTGGCCTGGCCTGGCGTCTTCCAGGGTTCGAGGCCTCCTGGGGGAGGGAGTGGCGTCGGGATCAAGTTTTTCATCCTGGCCGCGAAATGAAACGAATGAGGCCAACAGACCGGTTTCCCTGCCCCAGTTCGTGCTCGTCGCGTCCGCGCCCGACTTCCCCGGTTTGAGAAACCAGGCAGGAGCTGAAAAGGGTGGGTGGGTAAGCAGCTGAGAGAAATTGGCCTCAGGAGGTAAAGCAAAGCCATTCCAATATAACCGGATGAGCACTTTACCTTTTTCTTTTAAAAGCAGAATCAATTGGGGTTTTTTTCCCTAAGAAAAACCAGAATTTTCTTAAATAGCATCTCATTTGATAGAGGTGTCGAATCAGAGTTAAACATGCTCGAATGTAATAGGTGCGATTGTGGGAAAGAAGATGATCCGGGGTGGGGATAGATAGAAGTGACGACACCTCCACAAAATCGAACATTGACACCAACAACTTCCTACTTAAGAACAATCCGCAAACAAAAACAAGACGAGGATAGAAAACAGGCACTACGCCGATAGGTCTGTTCCCGTTACGAACTTTGTTTTGACTTTTGGATGCTGCTTTCTCAGGCTGTATCTGAGGCTAAAGTTACATTTAGGGACAGCTTATAATTTCTGAATTGCTGAAAATTAGCATATTAACGATTTCTGTAGCTTTGAAAAGTGGGGAGAGAGGACTGTTGCCTGCCATTTGGTAATTGAAATTTGATGGGTAAACTAATTACACCATTATTAACAAATAAATTACTTATTAATTCCATCTAATGTTGATCTTTGAAGTAAATAATGATGCCTTTAGTGTGTGCTTTTCTAAGTAACAGACACACCTAGATCCTTTACTTTTCAACCTAGATTAAAGCGGTGCATAGTCACCATTTTAAAAATACTTTCATATTGGCATGCAAAGCAGGGATTTTTCAGCTGCTGTACCTTAGTTGATTTTTCAAAGAGCAGTATAAACAGCCTTCTCACAACTGAGTCTGGAACGCAGACAAGGAAAGTTATAGCCTAAGCCTGGAGACACTTCAAAAGGAATGTCAATTCTATCTTCATTTATATCGGTTACTCATATGAGTTACTAAATGCTGGAATATATCCATTTGATGGATAGTCATTTAATGCTTAGCCACATAAAGCCTATTATATGGGACTAATCTTTAAACTAATTTAGGAAAAGAGGTTAAAAAAGGGATCATGTTAGCTTTCTAACTGCAATCACCCTGAAGTGGTACAAAGAGGTTTTCCATGTTGGATGTGTGTCTGTAAAGAGTGCTGTCCATCGACATGTGGCACCCTGAAAAATTTTTTAAATGAAATCTGAGCCACAGACAGAAATCAACACTGACTGTAATCTTTAGACATCCTCTCTAGACTCGGGGGAAAAAATCTAGCCTGTGATATAGCTGCCTAAACCAGTATCTGTCTAAAGCAAGAAAAAATTATATATATATATATACACCATATAACATGAATAATATGTACCTACATAATGTAATTTACAAAACTGGGCTCTCTAAGTTTCAGGGAAGGAAAAACATAGCAAGGAAATTTTGCCCTCCTCCTCGTGTCATCAGTCTTGAGTACAAGATCTTAACCATGTCTGTTCAATATTATTTACAGACACTAAAACATAAAATTCATGTTGTTTAGCCTCAGAGCCTTCTACTGAGTTTCTATTTTAAAGTATTAACGAGGTTCGGGCACTGTTTTGTATATGTAACCTAAACGAGTTAACTGTGCCTATGTTTCATGTGGTTCTATTACTTTAGGAAGATGGGCTTACAGAGAATCCCCCCAAGGCCTGCAACTTGTCTTTGTGGTTCGTATCATAAACACAAACGGAGCCAGGACCACCAAGTGTTATCTCACACACCGACATTTTGACATTTTACTGCAAGATTTATGGCTGTAATAAACAATCTCAGTACCTTTTCTGATCCTTCCACAATCTCTCTTTGCAAGCCATAGCATCATTCAATTGAATCAAATAATCTTTTGAAAAACAAAACAAAAAAACTCTTGCCTTCACATGAGATCCAAGACACCAAAGTAAAGCCAGGAAGGAACTAACTCAATAAATAAACTGAAGTTCACCAGCAGCATCTCGCCCGAAAAAGATGGGACGCCCTGAAATCGAGCAGAGAGGGAGCGTGCTAATCTTCGCACACCAACTGGCTCCAGTCCCAAGCAGGGTGAAAGCGTTATCCTTTCCTTGGGAAACTGGTAAGCACATTTGCTCCTTTCCACGTGCTGGGATAACATATATTCCCAACAAAAGCTTTCTTAAAATCCCATTAAGTGAAATAACTTTTCATCATGTCCTCGAATCCCAGATGGAGGAGAGCGAAGGAAGTCCAAGGGAGAGGGAGGGTGAGAGGGAGGCAGTGTTTTGCAGCCTAGTTTGAATCTGATTTGAATCATTTTGAATATATTTGGAACAGCCTTCCCTCTTGAATGCAACCCTGTCCCAAGTTTCAAAGTGACCGAACAGTGACACCGTGTGCATTTTGTTTCTTATTAATCTTACACATTGACAGTCTTTGTTAAATCACAAGGCGCGCCCTTCACCAGCCGACATTTTCATATTTGTTAGACGCGTTGACCTGAAGTTCACCTCGGCCTTGGACTTTGCGCTTCTAAAAGGTCTATACAGTGTCTTTTAGAGAGCAGGGTGCTTTGCCCAGGTCACTCCTTCTCAGGGAAAATCAGGGGTGGGGGGGCAAAGGAAATGTAAACGTTATGGAATGTATTGACTGTATTTGTCCTTTGTTCTCTAGAGTGAGAGACCCCCAGCCTGACTGTTCGCTGTCTGAAGCATGCCTCTGGAACGCACACGAGAATGGCTGAATTTCAAAATGCTTGATGGTGGCATTTGAAGGGCTTCCCCCGAACTATGCTAGGCATATGATTTTAGGGAAGCAATATTTTATCAACCATTTGACCAATTAATTGTTTGGAGGTAATTTCCTCCTAGTAGTTTATACTAATGAACACAACCCAAGCCTAAGGACTGGAATTCACATTCGGATTATACATTAATTTTAACCAGGATTGTGTGAGAGGCCTAAAGATCAAAATCCTCCAAATGAAAAAAGTACTCTAAAAGCAATAACTTCTGCAGGTACCTTTTCTTTTACTTTGCAAACTAGGTAAGAGGTGTCTGTGATTGTTGAACCTGACATGTTTCTAAGGTGTGGCGCGTCTTTAACCAATAACACAATAAGAAGGTTTTTCTCAAAGAGACACATAATTGTCTTGGTAATAGAGGCAGTTTCTGTTGTCATCATTTCACTGGCCCAGATGTGGTGAAGTGTTCACTGCTGGGACAGTGGTCACCACAGTTGTTCCCTTTCTTCTGTTCTCATCTGGCTCACACCCATTTGGCTTCCAGCTCTTGGCCAGAGTGAAAACTTTACACATTGCACAGTGGAAGCCATCTGATTACTTCCATGGATGCAGTGTTTGGGAAATATTTGTTTTTTACCACTGAACATACCTGGCACCAGCAAATCCAATCAACCAGAATATAGTGGGATGATCTTAAATGTCCCTGCAAGAGTCTCTGTTCTGAGTAGCTGAATTAGCTTATCTCTAAAGTTAGAAGAAAAACCTGGAAAAAATGTATTTTCTCTTCTCTGTTTCCCTACACTGATTACTTGAAGATCAATACATAGAGAAGAAAAATATGTCCCCCCAAAAGTAGATGCTAATGACACCAACACTTAAGGTTAATATAGATGCATGAATAATAAAATATTGTTTAGCTCTCCAGTTGCAACGCACACAGGAGGCATGGTTCCAGTCGGCTTCCTTCACACACTGTTCCCTTTCTTTTCTGCTCTCCTGCCCTCCCTCCTTAGCTTGCTTCCTCTCTCCTTAACTTTTATTCCCAATGTATTTTTAAAGAGTATTTTCTATAGAAGGGAAGTCTGTCTCAGTGGGCTTCTGAAGTGGTCTTGCATTTGTGGATTCCACCTTCCTGCTAAAATGGCATATTCTTCACAGTTCAAGTTATTCACCTAGAGATTACAGCATTTCTCTTACATTCAGTGAAGGGTTAACCATAAATACAGCGAAAACCTTTTGATAACAGGAATATTTCCATGGTACCAAGAAGCACTTTCTCACTGGTGGAGGGGTAGAGGAATCCTTTCCCTTTGGGAGGGTTTCTGCTTTCTTCCTGCCCTTCCCAGCTCTGAGATGTCTTCACGTTTACTGAGTGGCAGTTTCAGAAAAAGCACTCTGTGCTTGAAAATTGCAAAGAATACACTTTTCGAGAAGTGCCTGGGTTTGTCCTCGTTCTCACACACTTTAGGGATCATTATAGGTACTAAAAAGGGAAAAAACTGGCC